AACCACATACCCAACTTCGTACTGAGCTTCATGCTATGTGACTCATGCACCCAGTCCCCAGCAACATGAAGCTTCCCTCCAGGAGGCAGTGTAAAACTCCCCGTGGATATCCAGGGGCAACAAAAACAGGGGGCCCGTTTCCAATCCTCGAGCGTGGCCCAGGACGCGGACCCCAAGCATTGCTTGCATCTGCGCTCACTGTCGTCCAACACGCGGGAGGTCCCAAGGGTCGAAACGATGCTGGGCGCTGGCGGTGGCACGCGAGGAGGAGGGAGGGGAGGAGGAGGAGACTCACTATCCTGCCGCCTGTCCCTCTGCTGCTCCGCCGCCCTCTGTGCCGCCTCCTTCTTGGCCTCGGCGCTCAGAGTCATCAAGGTCGCCAAGACTGCCCTGTAGCGCACGAAGTAAGCCTGGTGCTCGACCTGTTGCAGCGCGTGGCGGTCCGTGGCTGGCACCCTGATACGTTCGGCCTTGTTCAGGAGGGGAAAAACACACAGACACAATTAATCGGCGATTCCCAGAAAATATGGGAAAATATGGGAAGTGGGGGGGAAGACAGAAACCCAGAAAATATGGGAAAATATGGGGGATATTTTTATGTGTGTGCATTTATTTGTGTGGTCTAATTTCCCTTTACTTGTTGCCTACAATCTCATCAGTAACTGCATTGCCGATAACCTTCCATCTAGGGGCAGCGCCCCGAACAATGCCACGCGCAGACAAATGAGAGTGACTGACATCAGTTGTCACTGTGGTGTGCTTGCTCACGCTGGCGCACGATAATCCGAATGTGGGCCCATTGATCTGCATCGTTGCCACTGGGGTGTACTTGCCTCTTGGCAAGCCACCCTTGGTACACTGCCTCACGATCTGTTATATGCTGGAGTGGCCCTTGAACCGTCCAAAGAGCCAACCAGAAAGCACGAAGTTCGCCTGGACCCTTCCACTGCGTGCTGCCCACTTCCTTGATCCGGGCAATTCCTTTGAGCATCGTTTCTAGATGGGCTGGTGGGGTTACTTTTTTTGATCAGCGGCCCGCAAGGAAAAGTCCAGAGGGCGTGAGTAGAACTGGTGGGGTTAATTACGCGAAGCGTCTAGAATTCAACATGCTGCTGAGGATGAGGAGGGGGGGGAGCGCGCGCATCGCTGAGAGCCGACATCCATTGCGACCAACTCTCATCAAGGCTCTCTCGAAAAATCGAATGGACCTGACCAGGTCGGTCTTCAAGAAGATTAGTGCAGGCAATCTCAAGACGGCGCTGCTTCTGTGACAACCCGGTCCCTCTCGCGCGACGCCTCGGTAAACAAGCAAGAGCAGCGCGCAGTCGTGGCCGCCAGTTAGCAACTGGATCTCGACGCGGAGATTATTTATACTTCTGACTAGCACGTGCCTCCTGGACCGCGAAGGGGGGATCTCAGCCCGAGACTGACCCCTTCCACGGTGTTCCGCGATGGTGCCCTCGGGGTCGACCTGACACACGGATGATTCCAGGATGTACGAGGGGAGGGAAGAAGAGGAGAAGGGAGAAAATTTTCCATAAGCCCGTTGGGCCTCCCAAAGATCAGACGGCATGCAGCAAGTGGGCTCGGCATTCCTTTTTACGGGGTTGGCTGACTGGGGCGAACTAAGGACCTCCCTCGTTCCAGTAGACTCCAGAGGCCCAGAGACAGACCCAGAGGCAAACCCAGAGCCCAACGGAGCCCCGCCAGCGCCAGACGCCGCCGCGGGAGACCCAGGGCCCAAGGGCGAAACAGACCTCGACGACCCAACCAGAGCCTCGCTACTGGAACTGTGGGTCCTGCGACAGAATCATCGGCACTCGCCCTGCTCAGCCCAGCGGCGTTGCTTGTGGGGGCAGAACAATTTGGCTCGTCGGCCCGCGGGTCCTCCTCAGCACAACATGGCCAGGTATCGAACCGCTCTTCGAAGTCGGTGGAGATCCCATCGGCGACGCCCCTGGAAGCAGCGGGTTGAAGTTTCAGCCCATCCAGACAGGGTCCGGAAACATTGACTATATCGCCCCTCTCTTTTCTCAGCGGCCGCTTCTCTGGCACGGTTCAACTCTGCCCGAGCCTGGCTGGACTGGACTTGGGGCCTGGTGCAGGCTCGGTCATATGCCGCCATCGTTGAGGAAGCCTTTGTGCCAAACTCAGAGTGCGCGTCAAGAGCTGTCTGCCAGGCTGACGCATACGCACCTCGATGCCCATGCGGGTCTTCCAGGGCGCTGGGGGCATTGCCTTGAGCTCCACAGTGTGCGCCAGAGTCGCTGCGCTGCATAAAAGATAGTCAATCATGCTGCCTTCCTTTCCACCATTGCAAGTCTACTGGGCAGGCGGCGTGAGGATGTGGCCCCCGACTCGGGAGGCGAACGGTGGAATCTTCAAAGCTGATGCAGGCACTCTGAAGTCACCAATGACCAGCCATGGGATCTGTAAGGAATGCACAAATGCACCTATGCGCTGAAAGCGCTCGAGACTGATACCATTGAACTCGGTAGAGCTGTCGCCGTAGAAGCGCACCACCGCCAGGGTATACCCAGCCACGTGCACAAGTGCAGCCGCCATGCCGTCGAGCGTAGCAGTCCCCCCAGCGCGGGCGATGCTGTTACTGCCAGCATGCGGGAAGCTGCGGACCTGAAGATGACCATGGCTGATAATCCATTCGCCTCCCTCGTTGGCTCGAGCTTGATGGCTGCGAGTTGAACTTTGGCCCCGATGCTGCTCGCAGGCTGGGTTAGAAAAGAAATTCAAGCCTGCTGCCCTCGCCTTTTGATCCCGCTCGCGTAGCCCAGCACGTGCCGCGTGAGTCTCAGCAAAGGCGGCTAAGTGATAGGTCGATTTGAGAGAAAGGTAGCACTTCCATATGCGCTCACTCATGCAGGCCACACTACCGAACAACAGCGTAGTGTACGGCTCCCCGCCGGTCTCGGTGGTGGACCCCAGGTTCCACTGAAGAGGTCGTCGTAATCGTCACACCGTAGCCACTTCCTGTGGTAGAAGAGGACCCTCGGGTGCCAAGATCTTCACTAGCGGACAGTGGAGTCACCCGACTGCAAGAGGAGGCACTGGGAGTTGAGGTGGAAGTAGGAGAGCATAGTGAGTCTTGGGGAAGCGGCTCGATGGGGACTCTCGACGACTCACGCTGATTCGAGGGCCCCGCCGCCATTCCTCAAGGAGAGGTAGCGTCTGCACCGAAGCACTTGCCCTTGGCCTTGGCCGTGTCAGGGGTTGCGCCTTTGCTGCTGGGGCTGGCGCTGCCGCTGGCCTGGCCTTGGGTCTGGGGCTGAGGCTGGGCTGCTGCTGCTGACTGAGCTGCTGCCTGCGCCGCTGCCGCCGCGAACGAGCCTGGTGGCCCCATCCTTGGCGGCCTCGCCCACGCCCACAACGCCGCCAGCCTGCGGGGCTGACGCAGCCTGCCCAGGCGCTGCGGCTGCCTCCTTGGCGCCGGGAGCGGCGCTGGAGGGCCGCAGCCGCCACCGCGGCAGCTGCCGCCTGGCTGACTGGCGGCGCCCCCTGAGCTGCACCCTCGTCCGCTGCCTTGCGCTTCTTCTTCCTGCGCTCCTCGACTGCCGGGCGAACCGCCGCCGCCTTGGACAGCCAGCTGCGAATCTCGGTCTCGCGGGCCGTGAGGTTCTGCCGCGCCTCGCGCAGCTGACGCTCGAGCTCCGCCTTGCTCGCGCGCTCGTGCCCCCCCCCCAGCTCCTCGGAGTCCGCGAAGATGCTCTCATCCCAACTGAGGTTGACGATCGTGCCGTCGCCCTTGGAGCTGGAGGAGGGCTCGACCCCGATGCCCCCAGCCCCGGTACGGCGTCGGGCCGCCTCCTGCTTGGCCGCGGTGGCGGTCGCGAGCGCGACCGCGGCCACCTGCTCCTTGGCCTCGGCCGCGGCGACCGCCGACCTGAGGCGCATGACCGCGCGCACGGCCTGGGAGTGCTTGGTGTCTGCATCGCGCCAGGCCGCATCAGCCTTGCGCGCGCGCTCCGCCGCCGAGTCCTGGGCGCTGAACTCGGCTTGAGTCTGAGCCTCAAGCCTGCTGAGCTCCTGCTGGAGCGCTGCCTTGATCATGGGATCGGACACCACCTGGATGGCGCGCGCGAAGTGCTCGGGCGCTGACAGCATGGCGGATGCAGTGGTGACATTCCCTGTCCTGAGGATGGGCCGAGGGGATTCCGATCTCTTGGGGCCAGGGCCACTGCCTGCAAAGGAAGCAGACTTCGTCTTCGGACATTTCGACCTCGGAACCTGTCCTGGAACATTGGCTGCAACGTGGATTTGTTTTTTTTTCCAGGATGTCGTTCCACTCGCTCCTTCCACTGCCGCGGCAGCGGCTCCAAGGCAGAGAAACAAAACTTAACATGACTAAGATCGATGCCCTTCTTAGTCGACCGAGGGGTACGGTAGCTGGTATGCCCTGCACCACTCGGTGTCCCTCAAGTGCCACGTGGAGGCGAAGGTTGGCAGAGGGCAACATACTCTCGTGCCGAGAACTTGGGGGGGGGAGGAGGAGGAGGAGGAGGAGGAGGAGGAGGAGGAGGAGGAGGAGGAGGAGGAGGAGGAGGAGGAGGGAGGAGGAGGAAGAGAGGGAGAGGAGAGGGAGGAGAGGAGGGGGAGGAGGAAGAGAGAGGAGGAGAACGGAGGAGGAGGAGGAGGAGGAGGAGGCGGAGGAGGAAGGATGGAGGAGGAGGAGAGAGGAGGAGGAGGAGGAGAGGAGGAGGAGGAGGAGGAGGAGGAGGAGGAGGAGGAGGAGGAGGAGAGGAGAGGAGGAGGAGGAGGAGAGGGAAGAGGAGAGGGAGGAGGAGAGGGAGGAGAGGAAGAGCAAGGAGGAGGAGGAGGAGGAGGAGGAGGAGGAGGAGAGGAGGAGGAGAGGGAGGAGGAGGAGGAGGAGGAGGAGGGAGGAGGAAGGGATGGAGGGGAGGAGGGGGAGGAGGAGGGGGAGGAGAGGGGTGGAGGGAGGAGGAGGGGGGGTGGAGGAGAGGGGGCGTGCACTTGGCCCTCCGCAGCCGTCCGCGCCCACGTTCCGGGGCGCCCGCTCGGGGGCCCGGCGGCCGCGCGCTCGCCGCCGCGCACGCCAGGGGCGCAGAGGGCCCTCCGGGGACGCGGGGGGCGGCGGCGGGGGCCGCAGGGCAACATCACCCCTCCTCCTCCTTCCCTCCTCCTCCCTCCTCCTCCTCTCCTCCTCCTCTCTTCTTCCTCCTCCTCCTCCTCCTCCTCCTCCTCCTCCTCCTCGTCGTCCTCAGGGCGTTTAGGGCAGCCGCGAAAAGATGGCGCGTTCCAGAAAGGGCCTTGCCTCGAAGAAGAACAAATGGCACATAATCTTTTGGCGCTCCGCATGGGCTTCTTGGATTTGCGCCGTGCGGCCCCCCCCATTTGCGCCTCCGGCGCCGATCGTGGCGCGCTCCGCGCGCCAGGGAGGGGGGTCCAGCGCTCCAAGACATCCGCGTGGAGCGCCAACACATTTCTGTTTATGCTGTTTTCCTCCTTCTACTCAGGGCAACCACGAACAGATGGCGCGTTCCAGAAAGGGCCTGGCCTTCGAGGATCGAAAGTCGGCGGCGAGCGAGGGGGGAAGTGAGAAGGCGAATGCCTTCCCAGAAGGCTCGGAGGTTCCCCGGCCCTCTGATAAGTTCTCCAAGCCTTCCCCGAACATGCAAAACACTTCTCGGAATGCGCAAGGCCTTCTGAGAAGTCCCGCCGCCTTCTGAGAAGGCCTTCTCCTTCTCACCTCCCTCCGTCGCTTACCGCCGATTTTCGATCCTCGAAGGCAAAAAAAAAGATAGGAAGGGGTCCAACGGTGGCTCTACACTGCTCGAGGCACCTTGGCCTTAGGACCCCGCCCCTCAGGACCCCGTCTTCGAACCACCGATCGAACGCCGACGGAATCAATTCTTCTGGGTTTCAACCTTTCTGGGTGGCACGTCGCAGAAGGTGAGCTTTTTTTATTCGGCGTTTCGAAATTGGGTGGAAGGGGGGGGAGGGGGGGTCTGGCCCCGGACCTCTGCTCAGTGCGTTGCTTGGACCCGTGCGTCCTGTGGGGGAGCCTCCACCTGCTTGAAGCAGGCGCCAGAAATAAGCAAGATCTACTCCACGGGGGAGGGGGGTGGGGAGGGTGCGAGGGCCCGCGCTGATCGGCAAATAGGGGAACGAACGATGACATAAACATAACTCGGAGGTCCGCGCGGATTTCTCGGATCTGCGCCGGACACCTCCTCCCTGGCGCGCGGAGCGCGCCAGGGGCGGCGCCGGAGGCGCCGCCAGGGGGCCCCAGCGCCTATCCGAGAGTTCCGCGCAGACCTCCGGGTTTTATGTTTATGTCATTGTTCGTTCCCCTACAGTCAAGACGCTGAAACAAGAAACAGTTTGGGTTAGGAAGGGGTTCGATGTTCCTTATGTTCCTCAAGTGCTGTTCCTCTTGCCCCCCTGGGGCACGGAGGCGCTTACAGGCCCAAGGAGGGGCTTCGTTCCTTATCTAGCGTTCCTTCTTTCAGCGGTCCGACTGCAGGGGTGAGGGGGGTGGATCGGCAAAACAATGCATAATCACCGAGCGCGTTCCGCTACTCGCAAAGTGCCTGCTCGCAAACGCTCGAAAAACACGTGCCTGCTCTGATTTCGATGTGACTTCTCGCAGATCCCCCGCGGCGGGTCCGGGCCATTTGCGAGCAGGCACTCTGCGAGCAGTGGAACACGCTCGTCTACATAGCAAAAACGACCACGAGGGGCCGCGCCCGCGGGGCAGGGGCCGCCCCAGAACGATCTCCTCCCTCCTCCCTCGTTCCTTCGATCCCCGCCCACCTCGGTCTTCGATCCTCGCCCACCTCGCTCCTCGATCCAGGCCCCCCTCGATCCTCGAGCCTGGATGCTCTTCCGTCCTCGTGGCTCCTCGGACCTCGCTGCTCCTCGGCGGAGGCCCGGAGGAGGCTCGGAGAGGCTCGGAGAGGCTCGGAGGAGGCTCGGAGAGGCTCGGAGGAGGCTGGGAGAGGCTCGGAGAGGCCCGGAGGAGGCTCGGAGAGGCTCGGAGAGGCCTCGCTGCTCCTCGGCGGAGGCCCGGAGGAGGCTCGGAGAGGCTCGTTGTGGGGCGGAGGAGCGGCGCGGAGGGCGGCTCTCCGCAGGCGGCGGGCCGCCAGAGACCCAGCGGTGGTGCAGCGGGGCTCCTGCAGCGCCCGGGGGGGAAGCGGGCTCTTCTAGGCCTCCTCCTCCTCCTTTCCTCCTCCTCCTCCTCCTCCTCCTTTCCTCCTCCTTTCCTCCTCCTTTCCTCCTCCTCTCCTCCTCCTTTCCTCCTCTTCTCCTCCTCCCCCTCCTCCTCCTCCTCCTCCTCCTTTCCTTTCCTTTCTTCTTTCCTTTCCTCCTCCTTCTCCTCCTCCTCCTTTCCTCCTCCTTTCCTCCTCTCCTCCTGCTTTCCTCCTCCTCTCCTCCTCCTCCTTCTCTCCCTCCTCCTCCTCCTCCTCCTCCTCCTCCTTCTTCTTTCCTCAGGTGGCTCCGCAGCGAGGCCCGCGCGAGCCGTTTGCCCCGCGGCGGGGCGCACGCGGGCCCGCGCCATCGGGGCCCCCAGCGCCAGGCGGCGCGTCCAGAGGCGGAGGAGGAGGTCACGCGGCCACCGCCAGGACGGCGCAGCGCGAGTGCTCGCCCGCCTGGCACAGGCGCCAGCGCCGAGCTCGCGCAGAGGCGCGCAGAGACCTCAGTGCGAGGCTGCTGGAGAGGCACCACGGCAGCACGCCGCCGACGACTGCAGGAATGGGACGGCCAGCCGAGTACACCGTCTGCAAGTCGTGCGGTGAATGGTGGTGGAACTCCAAGCTGGAGAACATGGAGTACCGCTGCAGCTCCTGCAACAAGATGCTGCCGAAGTCCAGGGTCGCCAAGGCCACGCAGGAGGAGGCGACTCGCAAAGGCGGCAGCACAGGTGGCGGGAAGGCGAGCGGCACGGGCAAGGGCCCAGAGCAGCTGGCCCAGGCACTGCAGCTGATCACCGCCTCCCTAGGACAGTTGCAGATCGAGGGAAGCGCATCGATCACCAAGCAGATCGAGGTGGCGGCCTCGGCATTGCAGGCGGCGAAGACGACGTCGCCGCCCAAGCCGAGGGCCGAGAGGATGGCCACAGCAGCGCGCGCGCTGCAAGCAGCGCAGAGGCAGTACTCCCTGGCGTTCTCGGCGAAGCAGATGGCAGAGGAGGAGGCGCGCAAGGCAAGAGTGCTGCTCGAGGAGAGAGCAGAAGCTTTGCTGCAGGCAGAGGCGGAGTGCGACGCGATCCACAATGAGGGCAAACGTGGCCCCATGGCAGGCATCATCGAGCAGCTCGTGACGGGGCAGTTCGACGAGCTGACCGAAGGGCAGCTGGCAGCTGACATCAGCATGGAGTTCGCACTGGCAGACGACGACTTAGACGAAGAAGCCAAGCGACAAGTCGAGGAGGCCAAAGCCCAGGTCGCGAAGCAGATGCAGGAGAACGCCAAGCAGTTCCAAGGCCACTTGAGGGAGCACCTCGCGAAGGCCAAGGAGGCGGCGTTGGAGAAGCGGAAGGTCATGCAGCAGGAGGCCAAGAAGAGGAGGCTGGCATCAGGAGAGCCCACAGCCCCCAAGGCGGCAGCGGAGGCGGCGGACACCCCAGCGGCAGCGGCGGCAGCAGGAGGCAACGCCACCGCCAGCGCCAGCGAGGCCGAGGCATACCTGGCCAGCAGGCGCGCCGCGCAGGGTGCAGCGGGGGCAGGCAGCCCCCAGCCGCACTAGGGGCGCGCGCGGGGGCGACGGCGGCAGGATGTTAGCGACGCCGCCGCCCAAGAGCGCACGCTCCTATGCGCCAACATCTCAACGTAGGGCCCCACAGCACGGCTGTGGCTGATGCAGCAGGGCATCGGGGGTAAAGGGTTCGACATGATGGCACTGCAGGAGATGCGCGTCTCACATGCCAAGATCGAGGACGCGGAGCTTGACCTGTGCAAGATGGGGTACAGGGCCACATGCACCGCGGCCAGGGATAGCTCACGCTCAGAGAGAGGCTGCTGTGGGGGAACGGCAGTGATCTCCAAGGGGCACTTGCGCGCCGCCAGCTTCAGACACATGGCAAGAGCTCGACAGGTCTCGAATGCCACGGCTGACATTCGACGAGGCGCTGATGGGGCAGGGGGCTTCGGCATGTGCGACTGGACTCCAGTCACTTGGCACCTGAAGGGGGCGACGCTCACAGTCATCAACCTCTACCTGGACCGCAACAAGTCGCTGGTGGAGGGAATCTACAGCCGCAAGCTCACTGCCTTGGCCGCGTCCATCAAGACGCTGCAAGGAGCGTGGGTGGTCTGCGGCGACTTCAACACCGACCCGAAGACATTCTGGGAGACGGGCTGGCCAAAGGCGATGGGAGCGAGCGCAACCTTCTAACTGCCAGAAGACCAGCACACCTGCTTCCTCGCGGAACAGGAGCCCTCCCACATCGACTTCGCGATGACGAACGACGCAGGCAGCAAGATGATCGCAGGAGTCGAGGGCGTCCGACGTACCGTGGAAGCCACGCATAGGGCTGAAGTTCACCATCCGAGGGCAAGGACTACAGACCAAGTGCAGAACGCTGAACCTGCCGAAGGCGTTCCCGCACCCACCGAGGAAGGGCAATGCGCCCAACCCAACAAGCAAGAGGACCAAGAAAAGACTGCAGGCCAAGGCCATGGAGGAGGCCAAGGCAAGCGCTGCAGGCACGCTGATCGTGGAAGGCAGAGGCCAGAACTCCGAGCTCCTGGACGACGAGCGCTGGGAGGCGCTCACACCAGTGGCAGGCTGGACCAGCTTCCCGACCACCGAGACGGTGGAGGTCGGCCAGGGCGACGCGCCCAGGCCCCCGCCCCAACCTTGCCCCCCCTGCACCGTCGGCCTGGACCCTCTGGGCGGGCACGGGGGAACTTGGAAGAGACGGCCCAGAGGCCCACGCGTTCGGCGAGTACAGACACCAGATGGACGACGAAGAGGTCGACGTGTTCGCAGACCTGGACCACGAGGATGAGGCCGAGGCGATCAGGATGTGCGACGAGCACGTCCAGGACCTGGTGCTGAACTACACGCGGCAGGGGCGTCAGAACGCAAATCCCACGACG